ATTAATAATAATAATAAGAAGAAGAAATGTTTCTTGAGCCCCAAATCAGCATATCTGCTTTCTGAAGGATCACGTGACACTGAAGACTGATCCTGAAATTTCAGTTTTGCATCACATGAATAAATGACATTTTAAAATATATTAAAATAGTAAAAGAAATTACACATTAAAATAGGATTAAATAGTAATAATATTCACAATATTGCTGTTTTTACTGTATTTTTGATTAAATAAATAAATATATACATATAGTACTACAGCACATTTGTGTATGTTACATTATAAAAAAACAGTTAAATATAGTATTCATCTGTCATCCTGGATTTAATTTTTACTGTCACTTCAGTATTCATTCACACATTAATTACTTATTTTAAAATAAAATAAATAGCAAAAAATATATTCCTTTATCTTACATTTACTTTTCTAACATTAAGTATTTTGTATTGGTAGTATTACAATTTTTTGAGATAAACAGAAATAAATAGTTCTAGCGTCTTTGTTTATTAGCAGCATATATCCTGTGTATGTAAATGGCTTGGCACATTCAAATCTACTGGGAAACCTTTCAAAGTCATTTGGCCATGTGTGAAAAAATCTACAGAGGATAAAACACAAATATAGCACTCGGGCAGCTCAAAGGGATCCAGCTGACATGCTACCTCTTCCCCTGCGTTTAATTAACACCTGTTTTAGACTTCACTTTACAAACACCTGCACAAAATGAGCTTAAATAGATTGAAAATGAACAAAAATGTACACACTGACACTTAAATGTTGCACGATTGAATTGCTGTCTCATTGAACTAACTGAACAAAATGATGTCCTATCCTTCTGCTAAGTTTGAAAATACATTGTAGTACATGACTGAAATGCAATCTCGCAAACCTTTATCTCCTGACACCAAATCAGTCAATGGAGTGTCTTTAGTTTGTGCATCAACCAAACTGATCCACGGAAAAAGGCTGTAAAACAACAGAGAAGCTATTATAAATGATCATAAAACAAGGTTGAATAATAGTCATAATTCATTCTGAACAATTATAATCAATGTGTTAGACTCACTCGTCAGGGTGAGGGTGAACTTACAAAACTGTGATAGATACATGTCTTAGTCTCAAACAGCCTGTTTAGCAGCTGAAGAGTCTTTCCGGAGCCCAGCTTCTCTGTCGTGCACATGTTGAGGAGACTGTAGAGCTCAGCAGATACCCATCTCTGATCCAGGAAGAGGTCACCTTCAGCAAACAGTGGAGTCTTATAGCTCACCGTACGAAAACCATATTGACTTCACGTGACAGATGGATATAGACATATTTGGAAGGGAAATACAATGCTTATTGTGTGTTTAAGCAGCTAGTTATAAAGTTGCAAAAAGAATTCCTACAAAAGATATTCGTAAAACTAAGATTAATCAGTGAACTTTTTAAATAATTTGTCTAGGAAACAAAACATATGGCCTAGATGCAATTGTACAGTTTAAAAAAATAAATAAATGCTTCTTAGTGCATTTACACTGCTGTTCAGAAGTTTGGGGTTGATAAGATTTTTAAATTTTGTGTCTCTTAGTCTCTTATGCTTTTTTAATTTAATAAAAATACAATAAAAACAGTAACATTGTGAAATATTATAACAAATTAAAATAACTGTTTTCTATTTGAATATATTTTAAAATGTACTTTATTCCTGAGATGCAAAGCATTTTCATTACTCCAGTCTTCAGTGTCACATGATCCTTCAGAAATCATTCTAATATGCTGATTTGCTGCTCAAGAAACATTTCTTATTATCATCCATGTTGAAAACAGTTATGCTGCTTAATATTTTCGTGGAAACCTTGATTCATTCTCTTTGATAAATAGAAAGTTCAAAAGAACACCATTTATTTTTGATCAATTCAGTACATCCTTGATGAATAAAAGTATTCATTTCTTTAAAGGGGTCCTATTATGCTCTTTTACAAAGTCTTGATTTTGTTTTGGGGGTGTACTAGAACAGGCTCTCATACTTGGTTGTTCGAAAAACACATTATTTTTCACATATTTTACATTATTACAACACCTCTCTCACCAGTCTGGCATGAACGGCTCGAATAGTTCCTGTATCAAATGAAGGCCCGCCTTCTGAAATAATATTACTGACCCCAAATTTTTTTTATGGTAGTGAATAATAACAATAATTATTATTATTATTATTTCTTAGTTGTTTATGTATAATAATGCCAGATGGATATAGACATATTTTGAGGGGAAATAAAAATGCATTGTCAAGGTTACATCTGCAATTTTCACACGCCATTCACTGAAAGAGGAACTGAGGCTGAAATCACTTCTTTATCCTTTAAAGCTGCGGTCACTCGATTGTGAAGAAGCCAAATTGTATTGACATCATCACAAGCCACAAACTCAAACTGGGGTTTGATAATAAAACTGTTGTCAAGGAGCACAGCAAGCCTGAAATGGACAAATTAAAGCTTTGAGAAGATGACAAGCTGACGCTTAATGATGGTATGACATATTGTGGCTATATATGAAGTTCAATAAATCACTATTTATTTATGTCTTATTGCAACTACTCCCTCAAAATCTAAAATTTGGAAGTATAATCAATATTTGAGAGACATTCAATCAACAAACAGATCACAAAGCACAGGTCATTTCCCTAATTCCATAATAAATAAAAGTGGGAATGCAAAACTAAGGCTAATAATCTTAAGTATGTTCATCTTGAGTGGCACTGCTGAGGTGAAGCTGTACACCAGACAGCCTGAAGGCAGATGGCAGACAATGTCTGCACAGTCTTGAGGTAGATGAGAGGGCAAGACACATAGGAAGAGCATGTCTGCCCATTTAGCCAGTCTAATTTTGTGGAAGTAACACTCAACACCCATGTTTGAATATTTCCCTGTGGGTCAATGAAAGAAAAGAGATTAGGCCTTATGAAAATCACGATTTATCTGTTATGGCATACGAGTTGTACGATGTAAAATGTAAAACAGTCTGTTTTTAATCTTAATGACACCAGACTCAGGAGGATTTTTAATGATATGTGCAGCATTAGAGTGGAAACTGCTCTTGACTGCATAATTACCATGACAAGAGGGCGCCAGTGGTCACATGCACGTGGACCTTCACACGCGTTTCTATAGTAACGGGCCTCCCTCCAAGGATCCACATGCTCACAAATATGTCCAGCCTGACACAGGGATTTGAGGACCATCCCAACCGATTGCTGTGATATTACTGTTTTTACTGAATGTATGATCAAATAAATGTAGCCTTAGCAAGCATAAGAGACTTTTGAACGGCGATGTAAATGCACTCAGAAGCAATTGTTTTTAAAACTGTAGAACTGAATCTGGTTGCATCTAGCCCATATATTTTGTTACCCAAAGTGTCAAATGAAACATGATTCATCTTAGCTGCACACAAATCTTTTTTAGGAATTCTTTAGGTTTTATTCTTTTTGCCACTTATTAACTAGCTGCTTAAACTCACAACTAAGCAGCTAGTTATAAATAAATAAATATTTCAAACTGGAATTTATTCTTGTGATGCAAAGCTGAATTTTCTGCATCATTACTCCAGTCTTCAGTGTCACATGATCTTTAGAAATCATTCTAATATGCTGATTTGCTGCTATTATGATTGGTAATAGCTGACAGGTGATACATTTTCTTAGATAAATAGAAAAAAAAAAAGTAATAGATTTTTGTGGAACAGTGTAATTGTCTTTACTGTCACTTTTGATCCATTTAATTCATCCTTGATGAATAAAAGTATTACTAATAATACATTATTATTATTATTATTATTTATGATACATATCATAATTGTTTATATAGCCTTTATATACAATTTTATTTATTTACTAATGTTTTTATTTACCAATATTTTAATTAATATAATAGTGTATAATTAATTTAATATTTGATTTCCATTTTAATTCATTTTTTAAAAAATATTTAATTTCAATTTATTTAAACTCACTAACCTGACGTCTCAGGTCTTTTGGTTGAGATGTTGATGTGATGTGGCTTGAGGCTGATGCATGCAGTAAAGCCGTCGCCAGCTGTTTGCACATCTGTCCTCCTCCCAGAATGCCAACATACAGATGTGCTTCATCACTGCAGCCATTCTCAGCACTCACTTTCTTTCTGTGTGAAAATGTTCATGACTGTAATAAAAACGGCATCTATGTAGGAATTAGAGTCGTATGAGATCCACAACAATGTTCGACTGTTCCTACCTCAACAAACGGAAAAGTTCATAGGCAAACACAGCATGCGCACATCCACTGACAGTCAACCCAGCGGCCCGACCGCGCAGACACACCAGCAGCTCTTTCTCTTCTTCACTGAGTCCAGCCTCAAACCCGAGAGAGGTTAAATGAACTGTGAAGTCCAACATTTCGAGAAACGTGGTTGTTTAAGGTAAGATATTTTACGTAATCAGGTCCGGTTTCTATGGTAACTGTTTCAAACTGTGAAACTAGAATCAATAAAACATAAAACGCTACGGTAAACCTTCACGTCAGGTTTTCAAAATAAAAGTCCCAAGGACCCCCATTTGCGTTTTAGAATTCAGAATTGAATGTTCGGGGACCTCTGCTGGCATGCTGAATGAAAATTTTATTCATAGCAAGTTTATAAAAATAAAATACAAAATAATTCCAACTGAAAAAAAACCCCGAAAATAAATAAATAAATAAAATAAAACACTGTACAAGGCATTTATGATACAAATTAAAATTAACACAAATAATTACAATAATGTACAATGTCCCACCTCATAACATTCTTTTGTACACTGTACATTTAACTTCATAAATTGTGAACAACGATAAAAATTATACAGATGTAAAAATGTATTTTCTTTTCTCATACTGTTACATCATTGCTTGTCATTTTGTGACAATTAATAATAGAGCAGTAATAGAGAAATTCAGCCTTTGCATTGTTAGAGATGAAATGCAAACAGAGAAATCGTACTGCACAGATTAACTTTCAGTCCATTGTCAAAACAATACTGTGCAGTTTAAGTGTTCATTATGCAGACAAAATGCATGGAGCAAATAGGTTGAGATCCATCAAGCAATGAAACAGTCTGCTTTGGATGGGATAAAACCAGTGTACTAAATTGCATTTCACTAATCACTAAATACATTGATTTTATTTTAAACAAGGCAAAAGGGTTTGTCAACGAAATTGAAATGAAACAGCATTTCAGGGTGTCCTGGAAAATTCTGTCCTGTTTTCTTTGCTATTTAACATTGACCTGACAAACATAAAAAGTTTGCTATGGTGAAATATGCCTGTAATCTCCTTCGGCCAAAGGATTTATTGCAGTGATGGTTTTAAGTCTGACCCATTAATACCAATTACTGACTATATAATACAAGGCTGTGATTGCAACTGTAAATTGTCTGACTAAAGTGACGCTATAATAATGATAATAATTGGGGGAAAAAAATCTTGCTACTAATGCCTTTTTTTCTCTAATGCTTATATAGTTTTTTTTTTATTGAGAAAATTTTTTTTATATTTGTATGATGCCATATGCTGATATCCCAAATCACCAGATTACACTCTCATACTCATAAATGCATATTAAGCAGTTGAGGATTGAGTAAGTACTCTGCAAGTGCTGATATAAAGTTAAAACATGGGTAGTGAGGTTAAGAGAATATATTTAAGACACAAACCAGAGGACAGACAGAAAATAATAAACATGAAGTCCCTATTTACAAGATGACTGAACTTATCAGGCTACAAACTCCAGGTATATGAAAACTTGTATGCTGGGTTTATTGTACATGGCAGCGTTTTGTTATTTTTCTGTAGCTCATGCAAGGAGTTGGCCTTCTATGTGAAGTGGAAGCTATATTACAGCATTTTACAGGTGGAGAGGGAAGACGGCTGTGTAACTTATTGTTCCAGCCTTTGAAGGGAATTAGATGCATGCTTTTCAAAAATATGTATTATTATTTTTTTAATGAACTCTGAAACATGTAAAACTTTGATATGAGTGACAAATGGCAAATAGCAGCCCAAAAACGTTGAAGTTTTGGTATGTAAAACTAACATTTGTTCAATTTTGTTCAATTGGATATCTTCATGTGGCACATATAATAAAACTATACGTTTAATCCGTGAATATTGGCCACTGTATCAGTATCAGAACTCTTCCCATAAAATAAGAAATAGTAAAAGTATCGCAACTTTAAAACCTTCCGTTTTAACATTAAGTTGACAGATTGTATGCAAGGTGAGTAGTGATTTTTGATATGCAAAGCCAAGACACCCAGAGAGAATCTGTAAAACGGGTTAAAATGGTAAATGTTTAATGGAGCTGAGAGCATGTCATTCTTATTGGTAGCTGAAAGCACAAATCACATCAACTAAAATATTTTATATTAAAAAATGCAATCTACTATATAGAACTTGATGGATGGTTCAGTTTTAAGTCGAGTTTTCTGCGAAGTATAACAGGCATAGATTATATGAGGGCCTGCAAATAACCAGTAAAAAATAAGTGTGACTTATATGACACTTTGTTCTGCTGGAAACGGTACATTGCTGTGGGATACCAGAGGCTCTACAGAAAAGCAAAGTTAACAAACAGTTAGTGACTCCAGATTCTGTAAGCTTGAGCCTGCCCTATATACTGTATATTCCAAAGCAAAATTTCTTTAGGCACATCAAAGTGCAAAAACACTTTTTTTTTTTTTTATCGTTTCAGTGGTCACCAATTCTTGAAAAAGGAAGAACTCTTCCTCTTGCAAACTCAGTGACGTCAGAAACAGTCTACGCTAGTACAAGCGCATGGTCCCATTGAACATAGCATAGCTCACCCAAGAATGACAATTCTGTCATCATTTACTCACCTTTACATAGTTTCAAAACTGTATTCATGTTTTGTTTTGTTTTTTCCCGTGGAACACAAAAGAACATTCGAGAAATATCTTTTGAAGAATGTTGGTAACCAACCCGTTTTGGTTACCGCTGATTTCCATTGTATGGACAAAAAACATTTTCTGACATTTTCTTGTATGTTCCACAGAACGTTTTGGAACAACATGAGGGTGGGTAAATGAGGAAAGAATTTTCATTTTGTGGTGAACTATCCCGTTACGTTTTAAGAAAGCTAACTCAGCAATGTTCTCTTCTAACTGTTGCTCCGCTCATGATATTAGTTGACCTAAAAATAAACCTTTCCCATGTAAGAACACTAATGACTGAGTTTTTGTTTTCGGCACAGATTTCAAATGCAACAACATGCAACCACAGCATGTCAGTTCACATACTTGCGTACAGTGTTTCAGGCCATGTCTTAGTGCTGACAGTAGCCAAAGCACAAGCACAGAAAGGGTTAATGATGGCATGATCTAGCAGTGTACCTGCCACTGCTCAGAGAGGGCTGCAATGCATCAAAGCCCAAATAAATAACATAATAAATACTGTAGTACAGCCAATCTTGATGCAAACCTCATGTAGTTCATGATACAGTAATCTTCATAAAAGCTCTGGAATGTTTGAAAGAAAACAAACTATAAACTACTAAAGATCCAGCCAATCACCATCACGTATAACCTCCCATGTTCTCAAAGTGACTTTGGTGTTCCTAAAAGCCAGCATCTAAAAATTGAGGCTATTGATGGAGAGGACACAAAGGAGTTGCAAAAACTGCAGATGTGCGAGGGAATGAGAATCAACTATTTTTTTAGCTATTGTAGAAATTGGGATCTTTGAAACCCAAAGGTCCCACTTTCACTCATTCACTTCTTCTGCCAGTGTCTGAAACCTGTGGTTGACTATCTGCCCAGCTTGCTCGAGCATCTGACCTCACGGATGCCAGCTTTGCCCCGTTGGGTGTGTACAGTGGCGGAGCGGGCCTGTCTCCCACAGCATCCTTCCTGTGTGTGAGGATGAGAGCGGCGCAGAGGAGGTGAGCCCGAGAAACTGGGAGGAGAATGGCTGCGGCCCAGACAGCCACCACGGTGCTCGTGGCAGTACGGGATAGAGCTGATGGAGCGCTGTATTGAGGAGGAGCTGCGGGGGGAGGCACTAGAGCTGCGCTGGTGGAGGTGCTGAGCAGCGGTGGGACCGACGAACACATGCCTCGCACCCATGTGCTGGGGGGAGGAGCAGCTGGGGTGCGGAGAGCCACGGGGCGAGCTGCCGTGCATTAGCTGGGCCAAACATGTCAGCAGATCTGAGTCACTGTTGCTGCCGGCACAAATCCTGTACCGCCGTAGCCTGGAGGAGAAGTCAAATGAAGTCAAACTACGCTATAGCATGCAATTGATGAAGAAATAACAGATTGCCTGATAAACGTCTACAATTATCAAAAATACTGTAGCGACCACTCAAAAGGCTTTAGCTACTGCCTAGTAACCATCGAGAGCACTATAGCAACCACTAAGCAATTCAATACCAACCACTCAGAACATCTTAGCACCCATCATTTTATTAAATGTCTAGAAACTTTCCAGGTGATCTGGTTGGGTGACAGGTGGTTGCTAGGTAGTTCTGAGTGGTTGCTAGGAAGTTGCTAGGCCAATCTGCTATGACATTGCTAGGTAACTGCAACTATTTTTTTAAGGTTGATTGGTGCATTGCTAAGTGATTGCTAAAATATTCTGGGTGATTGCTAGGCATTACCAAGGCATTCTGTGGTTGCTAGGGTGTTCTGGATGGTTGCTCGGCAGTAGACAGGGCATTGCTGGCCCAAAGTTCTTGGAGGGAAGTAAGAATTTGGTTCCCAATCCTGGTCCTGGAGAACCCCCAAAACTGCATGTTAGTTGTCTCCCTAATCAAACACACCTGATTCAACTCATCAGCTCATTAGTAAAGACTCCAAGACCTCAAATGTGTGTGTCAGATAAGAGAGACATCAAAAATGTGCAGTGTTGGGGGTTCTCCAGGACTAGGATTGGGAACCAATGTTCTAGAACAGGGGTGGCGAACGTCGGTCCTGGAGAGCCGCAGCCCTGCAGAGGTTTGCTTCAACCCTAATCAAACACACCTGAACAAGCTAATCAAGGTCTGAACGGTTACTAGGAAGCTACAGGCAGGTGAGTTTTAATTAGGGTTAGAGCTGAACTCTGCAGGGCTGCGGCTCTCCAGGACCGGAGTTCGCCACCCCTGCTCTAGAATGTCAGAAATTTCGGTCTAGGGCAGTGTTTCCCAATCCTGGTCCTGGAGAACCTCCAACACTGCACATTTTAAAGGTCTCCTTAATCAAACAAACCTGATTCAATTCATCAGCTCATTAGCAAAGACTCTAAGACAGGGTTCCTCAAATCTTGCCCTGGAGGTCCAATGCGCTGCAGAGTTTAGCTCCAACCCTGATCAAACTCAGCTACCTGTGATTTTCTAATGATCCTGAAGACATTGATTAGCTTGCTCAGGTGTGTTTGATTAGGGTTAGAGCTAAACTCTGCAGGAAAGTGGATCTCGTGGGCCAGATTTGAGGATCCCTGCTCTAAATAATTTAATGTGATAAATGATATACAGATGCCTGCCTATACAATTAGGGGCTGAGGATGTAAGAGACATAATTTGAATAATTAAAATTTAACATTAAAATTAGAAGTGCTCGAGTAGATATTATTTTAATGTGTTTAGATTTATATGTACATTTGTTAAACACACCCCATGTTTATTCTGTAATGGTTTGCTCTGTTTTATTATTGGACTGCCTTTAATCACCTTTAATTTTTGGTGTCCCCTTTAAGAAAAAAAAAGATCGAGCAACAGTTTATTTTGTTTCTGTTTTGTACAAGAACATCCAGTAAACAGTTGAAACTCTTACTAAGACCAGAGCTAATTCTTTGCCCGAAAGAATAAAGAAAAATTATTGCTACTACATATATTGTTGAAAAGCTGTTATGTTTAGTCAAGTCAGCTTTATTTATATAGCGCTTTATACAATACAGATTGTGTCAAAGCATTAAACAGGAAAATAGTGTATAGTTAATGCAAGAGGACAATAGTAAACTGATTTTTTTTTTGTTAAAGTCAGTTCATCATTGATTCAGTTGTGTCATCGTCCAGCTCAGTTTAGTGTGTTATTATCTATACAATAGTTAATGTGTTTATTTATGTCAAAATGTATATTCATAAATACATTTATATTTATACAAATATAAACAAATACAATTCAAAGGAATCATAATATATTTATATAAATAATATAAATATAAAACATAGTCGTAAAGATTTTGATGTTTCTAAATGTATGCATACATATTTTACGGTGTCAAAATGTCATGTGTCGCACATATGTTTGCATATCCAAACATACAAAAAGGCAGGTTATGTTTTTGCAATAGTACCCAGAAAATATCATTTAAAGTTTACAATTGGTTTTAGCTTCAGACCTTGTAGCTCCCTAAACGTCCTCCCTCAACTCCCTTCATAAAAGTGGTAAAACAAAAGGTTGTCAGTGCTTTCAATACACATAAATTGCATTTGGTTACATAATAAAGAGTATTGCAAAAAAGTTGAACAAGTTCATATTGTAAATGTTTATTCAAAAAGATTTTGGCAGATTTTGTTCCTGATGCCACATTGTGCTCATAAACATCTGTATACATGTCTGTGATTATCCATTTCTTGGTGGTAGATTTCGACTTCCCTGTTGCCATTATTACCCGTTAACAGATTCACAATGTCGCACAATTATGGGAAGCCTGTGAAAACACACCATGTCAGTGTAGCTGAATACTGGCAACATTTGCTACGGGTTTGGACGAACTTCAGCATAGTTTTTAGGTACATTAGTGAAGCGAATTATTTTTATTTGGGCTGCACTTTCATGGATGTCCCGCCACATATATTCAGGAGAGAGCAGTTTACTAGGTTTGTTCAAAAGGAAATACTTGTTCAAGTGAGACTCCTCTTGCCATACCGCCTCAATGGAGTTTGCAGCATCAATGCTCAGCTGCTCCCTGCAGGTTTTGGTGAGATGATGTACATCCTCCAATGAGCCACCAAATGCAGCACCAGCATAATAATAATCACCTTCCCCAGCTGGAATGAATGCTTGAGACTTTGGTCTACGCTCATATGTGAATCGATTCCTTGGAGTATCAAAGAGCCAAGGATGTATCACGCCTACCAGACGACCCAAAGACTCCACACCCCAATGGCCATAGAACTTTGTATCTATGTCAAGGCAGAAAATATAGTCAGCCTCACTGGCCAGTTCATTCTCTATTAGTTTTTCCAGTTTTTCCATCCTGCCCATACTGATGTCCTGCCATCTGTTCAAACTCTGAACCTTTCGAACTGTCAAACTACGGTTTTCACCTATCTTCACGTCAGGAACTGATTCTGGTTGATCTGTAAACAAGTAGTAATGCACTCGTCAAATCTTGCCCTGGAGGTCCAATGCGCTGCAGAGTTTAGCTCCAACCCTGATCAAACTCAGCTACCTGTGATTTTCTAATGATCCTGAAGACATTGATTAGCTTGCTCAGGTGTGTTTGATTAGGGTTAGAGCTAAACTCTGCAGGAAAGTGGATCTCGTGGGCCAGATTTGAGGATCCCTGCTCTAAGACCTCAAATGTGTGTGTCAGATAAGAGAGACATCAAAAACGTGCAGTGTTGGGGGTTCTCCAAGACCAAGATTGGGAACTACTGGTCTAGGGTTAGAAATTCTGACAGAACCATGCATATACAATAACAATATGTTGGCTATAGGTTGGATAACTACCTTCCATCCACATTGGAGCGGCTAGGTTTTCCTGGTGGTGGACGGGGCACAAAGTGTGCAGTAATGGTTTCCGCATTCGTTGTGGGGGTAACTGGGCGTGGTATCTTGCTCTTCCGTAGAAGTGGGCTAGAGGATGAGGACAGTGAGGCAGCATCATCTCCATGACGATCGGAACGAGAACCCAGAAGCGACTCTTCATCTTGAGAGCGTTCAGAAGAGGCAGAAGAAATCTGGTCCCGCTGCATAGCAGCCACAATGACACGCCTGTCAGAGGATAATGACGGGGAAGCAGAGGGTGAAAGTGGAACATGGTGAACCTTCCTCTGCAGCAACTTCTCTTTAGCAGATCCAGGTGGTGGATCCAGAAGGCTAGATGGTTCTAACACTGGGATACGGCTGTGCCGACGATTAGGGTCTTGTTTGGGAGCAGAGGCTGGAGAAGAGGGGCCGTTTCTGGAAGGAGCATCTTCCTTTCCCTCCTCCAGAGTGTATTGGTTGGGCTCGATGGAGTGCTCAAGGATGGGAGGATCACTCTTGGGGTCTTTTATTTTAGGAGGCTGCTTGTTGCCATCTCTCTGTGTATCTGAAGGAGGTGTAAGACAGCCGTTCATCAGAACTGGGCTACGTGGAGAGGGAGGTGTGCATGGAGATGGCACCAGGCTTGGCACTGGGCTTGAAGGTTTCTGAGGTCCATTCCCATTTAGCAAAGGATCCCCTTCAACATTAGAGGAGCTGGTGGGCTGGAAGGCAACATGCTCCTGTGGGGAGTTGTTGTCAGCTGTGTTGTCTTGTGGATGCATCTCATTGTTACCATTTTCAGTATCACGTCTCTCCAGTGGAACGCTGTCGAATGCAGATCGGGAAGACAGTACAGAGGGTCGCTGAGCTGTCAGCTGAGAGAGGAATAGAGAAAATTAGCTATGCACTACATAAATGTTAAAGGAGTGGTTGATTGTGATTTTTTTTTGGGTGGTGGTTATACATGGACGCGCGTGCGGTTGCCATACTGTATTAAACCTTTAATCAGCTTTAAATAAAACCGTATATTAAAAGCTAACAGAAGCAGTAGCATTTACAAATAACAGCGTATCTAAAAGTATGAGACAACAACAATCAAAAAACATACCATTAAGAGCCGTGCTTGCACAGGTTCTGCGCGATCCTCTTCACTAATATCCTCTGTGTCTCAATCAGGCTCAAATTGATAAGCAATATAGACAACGTCATTGTTTACAATACAACCGGAGCACATGCCGCCAAGGTGAGGGGCGGGACCGCGCGTGCGCTAGAGGCGGTTTTGCCAATCAA